AGACAAAAAATTTTCATCTGGGCCGGATTTTCCATTAGGGGGAAAACAAGTTTATTTTGTTTTACACAAATAATGAATGCAAAATTTTATGTTGAAATACTTGAAAAGCACCTTAAAGAAATCAACAGTATGCTTGGGAATAATTGGATGTTTCAGCAAGACAATGATCCCAAGCATACAAGTCATCTTGCCAAAGAATTCTTAAAAGAAAATGTCCCAAAAGTAATTGATTGGCCCTCCAATAGTCCCGACTTGAATCCCATTGAAAATTTATAGGCTGAATTGTCAAAAGGAACACAGAATTACAAATGCCAAATAATTTGGCTGAGTTGCAATAATTTATGATAGAAGAGTGGAATGCAATTCCAAATAGTCTCTTAATTAATTTTATTAATTCAATGAAAAACAGATGTGTACTTATAATTGAAAAAAATGGAGAAAGAATTTCTTATTGAACTTTTTATATAAATAAAACCATATGTTTTCAGCTTTCCAATAAATTTTACTAAATTAGAATTGATATATTCATTATTGAATAATTGCGAATTTTTCTTGGCCAATTTTTTTCGTAACACACTTTATATATTTATTTACATTTTAAATTTTTTGTTCGTTGTGATCAATGTTACACATCCCATATAAATCTTGTAAAAATTTTATTTTGTCACATTTTATATCCAATAAAATCAAACTTCCACCATCTGTGGATTCTTTAATGGTAACACGAATTAAAGGTTTGATCATTTTTATTGGTCAATTTAACGATCAGCAAAGTAAAAACAGTCAATCTAAAGAGGATTTATAAAAACCACAAGGACAAAAACTGGATTTTTATTTATAGATTAATTGGCTGAATCTCAAAGATCATTTTCGTATTAGAAAGCAATGCCCTCAGAAAAAATTTATTGGCTATCAATAGCCGATTAACCATTTAAGGGATAAAAAAAAGTTTATTGCAATTTTTAATTGACAATTAAGAAAATAACTAAATCAAAAATGGAAACCTTGAACCAAAAAAAAATAAGGTTAGATCCACACCGTGATTGGCTAATTAGGGAAAATTCTTCCAAATTTGGTAAATTTCGCTGCTCTTTTGTAATTGTTCTTTTTTTTTCTTCAACTCAATCTTAAAAATCTCATAAGCAGAAGCTCTTCCAAACTTCTAATTCTTCAGCCTGACATCAGGAAATTTCTCTGATGTAATATTACACTAGAACCCGAAAATCTATAGATGCAGCTGGGTCAATTCTTATACACGAAAGAACAAAAACCAAAAAGAAAGAATTAAAAAAATTGTTTTTAAAAACAAAAAGTTATTAACTATATATTAGTCGAACGATTTGTCACATTAAACGATTGGGAAGTGTATTTTCCGAAATTTTTTGGTGATCAACATCGAAATTCTATTAATTAAATTGGCCACAAACCTTAATTTTAACCCTTTTTTGCTCAGCAATCCCCACCAAATTTGAGACACAGATTTTTTAAG